TCTGTCTGTCTTACTCTCCGCTGCCTGGGGTCAGACGAGTCTGTCTGTCTTACTCTCCGCTGCCTGGGGTCAGACGAGTCTGTCTGTCTTACTCTGCGCTGCCTGAGGTCAGACGAGTCTGTCTTACTCTCCGCTGCCTGGGGTCAGACGAGTCTGTCTGTCTTACTCTGCGCTGCCTGGGGTCGGAGTACTCTGGGTTCTTAGTTGTGACTCAGGATGTGAAAAACGCACAGTTGGCCCTCCCAGATTGGGTGAGTTCATAACAAAGAAAAATTGGCTATTCCTTTTTACAGATGGGAGCTACGTCAGTGATTTTCATGTCCGTGGGCAAAAGCCCTGCCTCGTGAGACTGTGGGAAGAGTTTTTGTACATGGCAAATACAAACCCTCTCTTGTTTCCTTAAGTGCCATTTGTAGTATATCATTGAGCCTCTGAGATTTGTTTATCTTAAGTGCTTCTAGTACCAGAACACTTCTGCTTCCTCTCTGATAATTTAATATATAGTTTTCTGTTTGCTAAGCCTGAGGCGTGTTTTCTGTTTCTTCTTCGGTAGACACTTAAGTGAAATACTAATTTGATAAATCAGCCATTTCATTTTTCAGCATCTGAAAGCTGCGCATGTTTATCTCTGAAACACATTATGTCATCCTTACCATTTATTTTGATGTTGAAATGCTGAAAATATATTTTATTTTAGGCTCCACTGCAATTTTCATTTCTTTTCTCCTTTCTGTTGGTCTTCCTATTATACTTTTTAGCTGTGCTTGTAGCTTAGGATATACTTTTTCCTTAAATGGAAACTACTGTATTTTTTTAACATTTCACCTCCTTATATTCTTCTTAGATAACCTATGCATTTGCACAACTGCTTTCCAGAGCTTGATTCAAGTACTCATGGGACAAAACTTTCTTGGGCTCCAAGCAGACAATCTTCAAACTGTTGCGCCTGTACTGCACCAGTTCCATTTCTGTCCTGTCGCATCCTCCTTCTGAAAAGTGCCTCATTCTTTCTGCCTGCTTTTCTGAAATTCTAAACTTGATTTAGACTCCAACTGAACAGTAGTTTCTTCATTTACCTTGCTTACTTTTCCTTGTTTGAAATAACTCTGCCTCTTCCATTTTCCTGTTTCTTCAGAAACCTCTGTATCTACTGTTTCATTCTTTCTTCACTTTTTGTTAGCTGTGTTTCAGTAATTCAGATAACATTATAATAACACACTAATGCACTTGCTTCTATTACTTGTATTTTGTTTCTCGTAATTCAAGTATTATGTCAGAACAATTTTATTGCCTTTTTTCTTGATATTTTGCTTTTCTCAGGTGATATTTTTGATTGCACTCGCTCTCTCTGGATGGTTTCTTTGCTCCCTCCCATTGTAGTTTAAATGTTCTTGAATTTCTCAGATGATCCTTGTCCATAGCCAGAGCCTGTTTTATTCGGGTGTAGTCCTTTATGTCTGTGCACATAGGTTTTGCCACAGCTTTTCAGTGTCAGGGAAATGGACCATATTCTCAGCCAGCACCGTGTCGGTGCTCTGAAGTACTGGGGTGAACGAGGGGTCTGCCTGTGCCTCAGTTTCAGTTGCTGCTGCTCAGATACCAGGGAATGTGGATTTATGTCAACTGTCACCGTTGTGGCTTACTGTACCTGCTGGGTCTTCTCAAGCATCCTCCACACATTGCACATGTCACAGATTGCGATCTTGTGAACCGTTTTATAGCCCGGACTATTGGTGGATTTTTTTCTGCCCTGAATTCATAAACCACGTTTTTGAAAACCGTAGCTCTCTTTACAACCGAGCTGAGTGTTTTTGTTTTCCAAAAGTTGGCTTGCAAAGCATAGTCCAGTCCAGCCCACCTGTTACCACACAAATAACCACTTGAAGCAGTTATAAAATATTTAAAAAATTGGGGAATTATATAAAACTGCCAGTCTTACCTTTGTACGTCTTTATCAGTTAGATCAATCATTTCTCGAGAATGAATACTACCCAGCAAGGCATACAGGGGCTCACCAAAGCTGACTTAAAGATTAAACAAGTTTTGAGAAATTAAGCCACAAGTTCATTAAACATTTTAAGAATTGTTTTTTTGGAACAAAATGAAAAATAATAAGCTGGTTACATCAATGTGCTGAATTTCAACTATCACTTGAATGCATAGTTGGAGAGGGTTTTTCAACAAATACATTTTTAGGTTTGACTTGTCTTGACATTTTTTCCATTTGTGTGTTGTGCTGCTGCAGGTATTAATGGAGTGCATTAAGGTCTGGTAATCAGCTGTCTGAAGCTCTTGCAGCTAAAGACGAGTCATTGTCTTATTTCTGTTTTAGACTCAGTAATGGTTACCTGGTTGTCTTTGAAAAGGATTTTCTTTGGCACTTTTTTTTTCCAGCAGCTCACTAATGTAGTGCTAGATCATATTTTAAATATGTTGATGTATTTTGTTTTCTAAATGAGATGGTGCTAATGACATCCAGGTCTTACAGTTTAGTTTAAGTGAGCTTGGAGAATTGACTCGCCTCCGTGTTAAAAACAATGTAGTAATAAAAATAAATCTTGTAAAATATTAAATTTAAATTCTAGATGGTATAAAAGAACGGAAATTAAATGAAGGTGTTCGTGTAACATATCTCCATGTGGAACAGAACTGCCTAAAAGAAGGTCACTTTAGGAAGTCTGAGAACATCATCCAGTACAAATCCAGACTGCTTCCCTCTGCGCTCCATGCTCCTTCCTTGTGAGCTGAAATAGCTTAAATATACAGTACACGTTTCCAAGCTTCCCAATCGCTCTACAAGACTGGAGCTTAAGAAATGTTCTATATGAATTGGTTTCCCAGCTGTACGGAATACATCTGGTAATAGCACTCCTGACGTGAAGTGCAGGCTTTGCTTGGATTTAGATGGAGCCCGTGCAGTGTTGTGAGGCCCTCCTCCCTTTTTTTCAAGTGTTCATTCTCACATCTCCTTCTATGTACTGGGACAAGAAAACCTTGGTGTTTTCAGGAGTCCCGTGTTGTACAATATGCTCTTGTTTGCTGATATTTTCTAAGGTGAAATGCATTTACTACTGAGAACAAGCTACCCAGCCATGTTATCGGAGCCAGTGGACTTCAGAGTGAGAACTGCAATTAAAATCAGGAACAAGGGGTACTTTGCTGGGCAAAGGGTACAGTACAGTGACTTCTTTCAAGCAACGACAGGATGAGATCCTCAGATCAGTGAGCTACTACTACCTAATAGTCTGGGTGGGCCACATGGCCTCTTTATATACCTTTATCATCTGTGTTCTTCACTGTTTGGTCTTGTTATATTTTCAGAGTTGAGAAAAGTTTTTTTTCTAAAAAATGGGGAAATGTTTTAAGATGGTTTGGTGTCTGATGTATGAAATGTGTACTGGATGCATCGACAGCAAACCAGCTACAGTATAACTCTCAACCTCAATAATCTATGGACTCCAATGAGGGATGGCAGGTGCTGCATATCTGTATTTTTAGCTGTATTTTTAGTCAGTGTGAATCACATTTTACAGAGTTCAGTCCACAGTAAACACTCATTTTATAAAAGTAACAAACTGAAGCTCAATATGTGAGAAACACATCTGTTAATGCTTAGAAACGTCATCAAGTAAATGTTAAAGATAGCAGAATATGAAATAATTGCTATTGATACAATTACGTTTACTCCTTTGCGTGTAAAAATGTGGTATATGTGAATGTGTGGTATTTTTCTATAATGCTTACAACTGGCTACCATTGCTTGAAATTTCACTAGATCCTCATTTCAGTTTCTTCACAATGTTTTGTTAACAATAGGCATTATAGACATATGTACTGTAGGTCATACTACTCACACGCACAGATATTAGCTCTCTTTTACTTTTCTCAGCACAAGAGACAAAAAATACAATTGTGCTTTCCTTACAAAGAGGTAATTGCTTCCCAGACTCTCAAGAATACTTTTGGCTAGCTTTTACATTACAGGGATATCTCTCGCTGGTATTTGGTCTGCAGTAATAGACCCATCAAAATACCCACTTTCAGAAGGTAAAAATAGCAGAATGTCCTTCAGCTCTTCCGGAGGCAAACTGGCAGTTTTTTTCCTTTGTAGGACTTTATATATAAAGCTTTTTTCATTGTGTTCCACTATAAGAAGTAGAGTTCAGCAACCAGCCCAAAGGAGAAAAGAGTAAGAAACTGTAGCAGTCACCTCAGCCAGAAAGTGTCACTCTGTAGCCTGCCCTGGGTTGACGTCTTTTCATGGGGTGAGTTCCAGGAACAAAGTGAGAGCTCTGTTGAAGCTTTCATCTTAACAAGCTTCGCCAAGATCCCTGGAGCACTTATCCTTGAGATCGATCAGATTTAATGTTTACTTGTTCAGAAGGAAGAGCCCTCGACAGGCATCTGGACAGGTGATTACACTGAGGCCATGAGCTACATGTACTATTAATTCAGCTTCCATGATTTACAGTGAAGCCAGCCTGCAGCTGCATACAGCGGGCGTAGTGATACCAGGGAGAGGAGTACGCATCAAAGCACATGTGCCTTCAGCTACTAATGGCTGTGCTGTTCTGTGTAGCTTGTGTAGACAGCATCATTTTTTAATTTAATTGTAATTTTGAAGTGTTAGATTATCTAATGATCTAATAGGAAATATTAGAATTCTCTTTTTGCAGAATTTATTACCACTTTTATAATGAATTCGGTTTTATTAATTTAATCAAATAAATATTTATATCATGAATATTAATTAATTCATTAATTGCGGGGCGGGGTGGTGGCTCTGTGGCTAATGATATGTGCCTGTGGCTGGAAGGTTGCTGGTTTGTATCCCGCAGCCGGCAGAGGAATCCAACTCCGTTGGGCCCCTGAGCGAGGCCCTTAACCCCAACTGCTCCAGGGGCGCCATATAAATAGCTGATCCTGCACTCTGACCCCCAACTTCTCTCCCTGTCTGTGTGTCTCATGGAGAGCAGGTTGGGGTATGCCAAAAGACAAATTCCTAATACAAGATCCTGTATATGGCCAGTAAAGTGATCTTATCTTATGTTAATTCTCAGAAAACTCAGAAAACAGATTGAGATAAACAAAGTAGCAATTCAATTAATTGAAATGCAAAATGTCAAACAAAGGTGATACAAAACATACATAAAAGAAGCCTCTCACAGTATTCCCATAATATCTTTATTGCAGCATAAACTGAAAGCTTGATGGTTTACTTTCTACCTATGTCTTCTGCAAGCTCATAAAATGTATTGTCCCTATTATTTTTTTAATAATTAGTTAGTTATTGTTTAAAGGTATAATTGTATTTTTATGTCCTTTATTTTATAGAAGTCATTTTTGTTCCACGTGATTTGCCACTACAGCACACTGTACTGGCTGAAGATGAATAAAACTTCACATTCTAGATATCTGACTGTAGCTGCAATGTGGTGACTTATATTTGTTTTTTTTTTCTTTTCCCTGCATTATAAAAAACTAATTCCTACTAAAAACAGGTGTTTAGGATACATTAACTTAAATAAACTAGTCTGCAGGCAGAGATTATAGTTATAATTGCGCTATATATCATCCTGTCAAATGGTAATTCAGGGTAATACTGACAGAATGAAAGATGTAAATTATTAATATTTTGCGAACTCAGTGCTGATATGTTTTGTGTTATGTTTCTACAGATCATGTGTCGGTAGGAGGACTCGGAGACAGTTTTTATGAGTACTTGCTCAAGGCATGGCTGATGTCGGATAAGACTGATGAAGAAGGCAAAAAGTTGTACTACGATGCCGTTCAGGTAAAGGGAACACTGTACATATGTTTTAGCTCATTGCTAGAGCTGCCAGGTTCCTGCAGTGGTCAAAGCAGAAATCGAGAAGTCCAGCTGTGGAAGGTGCTGAAATCCTGGAGCCTGCTGCTTTTGTTTAAAATAAACTCGGGGAATCCTCCGACACAAGGCAGTCTGCGCTCTGATTTCAAGGAGCACCTCCCTCCACACCTTGAACGTAAACTCCATCTTCACTCCTTCTAAAAGGAGCAGCCCAGTAAAGCAATAAGTAAACTGCACGGGGAGTGTTTTACAGGAGCTGTGTATGATTGCTCATATGCTCACAAACCCACAGTACAATTTCGGGTAGGTGGCTGCGTCAGCATGCGTAGGCTGCAAAGGAACAGGTAAGGGTTTATTCCATTCTGAAAGGAAGAGAACAGAGACACGTTTCCGCTGTTGAGCCAGGTTCGCACACCTGACGAAGGCTCCACAGCCAAAACGTTGTGCGTTTTTCTTTGCATTCAACACACAGTACAGTTTCTCTTTACTCCCAACCTGACCCCCAATTTTGAAATGCTTCTTCTTCTCTTGCTCCAGCACAGAGGTTTATGATTGGCTTGACATGTTGCGACTGGCCTTCCCTTACCTGAAAGATATTGAATTTTTGTTCCATATTTGCATTTCTTAAAAAACAATTGAATTGAATATTTAAAAATATACTCCTGTGGATGTTGAAGTGCTGTAGGGAAAGTAACCAAAGTTGTTTTACTGGACAGTTTCTAATTTAAGGCCTTTATTGTAAAATTTCTGAATTTTTGTCTTGATCATGACATGGGTGTTCTCAAGTAAGCATAAAGGCAGCTACCTTTTCCCGTCCCTAGTTTGTCATTGCTACAGAATGACTAACATGAGCTAGAGGTATTTGCTCTGTGGAAAATTCAAAAAGTAATCTATTCAGTGCAGCACCTTGAGCTACCTAGCCTGAACCAAGAGCCCTGGCATTCATTTATAGATTGAAAAGGGCCATATGGACAAGCCTTTTGTGGCGAAGGAAACTATTTTGTGTGATTAGGCTCCTGCACACTTTTCAATCCCATCGAAGATGAGAGAAGGAAGGCTTTCTCCACTTTAGTTAATAGCATTTCTCTGCATGCAGGCTCTCCTCAGCCTCTCTCAAGGAATCCTCCGTCTAAGGAAATTGCCTGATCATCAGCCGCTCCTTCACTTGTTTTTTTATTACCATCGCAGGGATGCATTAAGGTTAAAAAGCAATAACACAAGCAGGTCAAAAATAATGAGTGCCCAAATCAAGATGGTTTTTTACCTTGTGTCTCAGCTCTGAAGGGAAGCAGACTAGATAACGCTAGTTTATTGCAACAGTGTTTTCCAGATAGATTTGTTAGTTTCAGAGGCTAATGTGCTTTTAGAAGTAAAAAATTGTAGGGTTAGTTCTGTCCACCTGTTTAACAGATTTTTTTTACTATGCTTGCAGTGTAATCAAGTTTTATAATAACATATTAAAACATATTTTTATCATTTGTTTTAATCCATCTAAAAATATTTTTGTTCATTTATAGTCCTAGATGTTTCTGTTCCTCTTAAAAACAGGATTTGTGTTCCTTGTGCTTTAACTGCAGAATTTCTTAATGTCTTTTCAGACAATCAGAGAACTCTAATTGACCATTTTGTTCATGTTGAATCACTAAAGCTTGACTGATAACACACATTTTGACATGCAGTAGCTGCAGAATCATTTTTTTATTAATTATGTGTACGTTATGAAAAATGTGAGTTAGCAGTCAAAGATTTTGCCCACCTCATATTTTGACAACTCTATTATTTCTCCTTACCATCCATCAAAACAGCGCAAGTCCTTTGAGCCAAAGCTGACTCTTAAATAATGTCTTTTGCGAGATAAACCGGTGTAAGTCTGACATATGATATGTGACATTGCCAAAAATGTTTTCTGTTCTGTTATTTTTATGTTGTTTTGATGTTCTGGAACATAACCTTTAAGGAAATTGTTTCCCTTTTTCAGGAAATGGTAAGCATAGCAGGGTGAGCCAGGATACATTTTGTTTTTATAGGATCTAAGGAAATGAAATAAAGAGTTCTGGAAATTAAAATATAAACTACATGACTGAACCTCAATACCGGTGACTGAATTGAAAGTACAGTTTAGCTTCTGTTTGATAAACCTATAAAATTAAGACAACTAACTTTTCAATACTATGTATTAATTGGAAATAAAAGTGCTTATTTACTTCATCTGATTCTGTATTCCAAGATGTAATTAGTATACTTTATCTCAGCTAGCATTTTATTATTTAGAACAAGGCTCCACAGCAGAAACGTTGTGTTTCTTTTCAGGAGGGAATAAATCTTTACTTGTTCCTTTGCAGCCTACGCATGCTGATGCAGCCACCTACTCAAACTGTTTTGTTAAATATGTATGTGCATATTTAGGTTTAAAGCAAGAAATACAAATGCAAAAGTAGATATTTCTAAAAGAATCCCCCTTTAGAATAGCATGCTGTAGTAAAACAATTCATTTCAGAAAACCAATAGAAGGTAGTAGAGAATAACATACTATAGTCTTCTTTCTGAATTTCCCAAACTCAGTCCTGATTCTGTGAGTAGTGTGAGGATCTGTCCTGATCTGTCGGTCCGCTGCGGGCACAGCCAGAGTCTCCCTAGTGCGAGCACGGGCCTGCTCATCATGTTGGACTCCTCCCCGCAGGCCATAGAGACGAATCTGATCCGGAAGTCGAGCGGGGGTCTCACGTACATCGCGGAATGGAAGGGGGGCTTGCTGGAGCACAAGATGGGCCACCTGACCTGCTTCGCTGGGGGGATGTTTGCTCTGGGCGCAGACGGAGCCCCGAGTGACCAGACTGGGCACCACATGGAACTGGCCGCGGAGATTGCCCGCACGTGCCACGAGTCCTACGCCCGCACCTGTAAGTACAGGTGGCACCTGTCTCGGTGGTGCTGTCCTTCAGAGAGTGAACACAGCTCAAGCTCAAAACGGAACTGTCTGATTGCTGCAGCTTCCCCTGCACGGCTGGTCGCGCCTGAGAGCTCACTGCCCCCTGCTGGCCTGCAGCCACTCCTCCCAGCAGGCCGCTGTCACGTCCCGGTTTCAGTCAGCCCCGGCAGCTGAGTTCCTGGACCTGATAGGCTTGATTCCCGTTGCTTCCATTATCGCCACAGTTTTTTAACCAGTTGTTGAAGAATGTAAGTTCCCTGTAAATTCAGGAGGTCTGCGGCCCTCTTGCAGAAAGTAGTATGATCTACAACATTCATTGTCAGGCTGCACTCCATTAATAGACCTTTAATAGACAACAGCCCCATAAGTCATAGGAATCTTTCTTACATACTTGCCATGGAGAGCTGAGCACAAAGAACACCAGAGGCATCAATTAATCCTCGACTTGATCCTGTAGCTGCTGGATGGGTCTAATGAGCTCTTCTCATTTCTCACAGCTCTGTGTTCTTATCAGATGACTGTCTCTCATGGCTGTGCAATGTTTGAATTTGAAATTAAATTATTTACATATTGGAAGCCATTCTTCAGCAGAGATGTTTTTAAAAGAAAAACCCTGAATGTTTCTTCTCTATTTCTATGACAATTGAACTACTTCAATAAATAGTCAAACTGAATATTTTGTATGGAAAGAGCTGGGCTGTAGATATCTCCAGATAGGTTACTTTGTGGTTCTGATCTGTCCTCCACAAGAATAGGCTGCAGGGAGCAGGGAACGTTGTCTCTGATGGAAAAATAGCTTCTGACTGCATTTAAAACCAGTTTCACAATCTATGATCTTTCTTTACCAGCTACTGTATGTAGGCACTTTGCTACAGATGGCATTCAGCATTCAGATGGCAAAATGAAATCAAACCAGGGACTCGGACAAAGAAATGCGCCGTCTGCGGTCCAGTTCCAGACCTCTGTTTCTCAAAACTGGATTTTGGTATAAGATGAATATGTTGCAGTACAGCATGTTGTAGTTGAATGTATACTGAACAGAGCACAGGTGCTGTAGCTGGCTGAGAGGTGTTCTTGATCGCACATGGGAGAGGGCTTGTGCCTGACCTGTTGCCACCAGCAGTCCAAGACAATACCACAGCATCTCTGCAGCCCTGTTCAGAAGTCAGGGCATCAGCAGCTCAGGGAGTCTTGTGTAACATTTCAAACAGCGTTTTACAGAAAAGTATTTCCAGTACTTTCAGAGTGCCGAAATCAATTTATTTAATTTGTAATCGTATTTCCAAAATAAAGAGCTGTGATTCTTTAGAACTGCTGTACCTTGAAAAGGTATTCACCCTCTTCCAACTGCATGACCTGTTGTCTAATTAAAATATGTTGACTACAGAAGAACCCCCTCTCTTTCCTGTCGCAGACCAACATTAGTGCAGGTGCACAAAGTGACCTGGACAAGTCACACCTTTGTGCAGCTCATTGGAAGGGGGTGAATAATTCTGCAAGGCACTGTATAGAATTAAACCTTAATGTTCCCACCGTATTTGGGGCGGAGCAGTGGCTCTGTGGCTCAGGACCTGCGCCTGTGGCTGGGAGGTTGCCGATTCAAATCCCACAGCCGGCAGAGGAATCCTACTCCGTTGGGCTCCTGAGCAAGGCCCTTAACCCCAACTGCTCCAGGGGCGCCATACAATGGCAAGCACATGGAGAGCAAGCTGGGGTATGCGAAAAGATCATTCCTAATGAAAGAAATTGTAAAGGGTTAATAAAGTGATGTTGTTTGTTTTTGTTTTTGTTTGTATTTACTGTGATGCTCGCAGTGCTCTTCCCAGTCCCATTACTCAGCCATTTCGGATATGATGTCGTTCAAAAACATTACTCAGAAATGGACTTCATCTTATAACTGTAGAATAAATATACGTGCATGTTCTTGTTCCTAAAATATTTCTCAAAGGACATGTGTGTAATGCAGTTTCTTCCTTTGTGTCTGTGATTCCTGAAACAGCGCTGAAGCTGGGGCCGGAAGCCTTCCGGTTCGACGGGGGTGTGGAAGCGATCGCGACGAGGCAGAACGAGAAGTACTACATCCTGCGGCCTGAAGTCATAGAGACCTACATGTACATGTGGAGGTTCACTCACGACCCCAAGTACAGGGACTGGGGCTGGGAGGCAGTGCAGGTAAACAAGCACATCGACTCTCCTAGAAACTGTCGATTTCTTCAGGGTCCTTAAGAACCAAAGTAATTATTTCCATGGTCGTTTTAAGCTTTTCCTACGTTAAGTGGGATCCTAAGTGTACCCTACAGGTGTTATGTGATAGATCGCGAGAGCAGGTTGTATCAGTCCTACAGGTCTGTAATTGAATCTCTTAATGACATCTGATTACATTTTGATGTGTTTTGTGTTACCCATAAATCCCTAATTGCCTTAGTATTTTCCTTTTTGCGAAGCCAGTTTTCGCGATCTGTATACTCGTGCTTTCCAATGTAGTTTCTTGTCCCCAGCCAGACTGACAGAAATGTGCTTGTCTGGCAAAAGCCCTTTGACTACATTTCTAAGGGTAATAAAATGTGGTTGTCAAAGAGGCGTTTTCATCAGCGCGGTTTCTTTTTCCCGCCAATGCAGGCGCTGGAAGAGCACTGCAAGCTGGACGGAGGATACAGTGGGGTTCGAGATGTCTATGCCAGCCACCCAAGCCATGACGATGTGCAGCAGAGCTTCTTCTTGGCAGAAACACTCAAGTAAGCAGCCTGACACCAGACCTGCAGCCACAGCGCTCCTGCAGAGCAAATCTTGAGCATTGCAGGAACTGCACCTCTGCTTACATTGCATGCTGACAGATAATATATAGTTCACAATTAAGCATTTCACATCCTGCATCTTTAAAAGTCTACTTGTATATCAATTAATAAGCTAAAACATCTGTAAATGTTATCATATTTCTTGAACATCTTACCAGGGTGTATCCTTCAGTGACATTTTGAAATGACTAAACCTTGTGTGTGTGGTCTTGTCATCGTTGCCACATTCAGGCCGTGTGTCAGAAAACAACACAGAGAGTGTTGAGCTGACCTGTGTGTGTCATGGGACATTCATGAGGGCTGAACTGATTCAGACTTTGCAATACGTAGCATTTTCAGGACATATTGAAATTATGTTTTACAAATACAGAACCCATGAGCCTCTCTGGAAAGAATGGATAGATAACTCAAGAGCAGCAGAACCTAAATTACTGATCTTAAGGGGTAGCAAATAAGAGATTTGGTCTCCTGCTGTTGTGTAATTCGCTCAGCACTACCTATTCACTGCAAGAAGCAGCAGTTGCTTCTTTGATTTGATCACAGTTATTTAATCACTGTTTCGAATCAGATATAAACAATATAATTTTTACCTAATAAGCATAATTTGATCTGCTGTTTAATTTACCATCTTATATCACTTGTTTTGTCTTTACTTAATATATCTATATTGTTTTAATTATGATAACTCACAGTTTCTCACTAGCTTCTAGTAAAACTAAAGTAATTTGCATTTCAGTGTTTTATATGAAAAATTTATTTTCTTTTGTCATTTAATTTCTCTTCTAAAATGCCTGAGGAGCTATTATGCTGATGTTTGTATGTGAGTGTGCACAAGCTTGAGAAAGAAGCTGTCTTCTGTTCAACTCAGTACAAACACACAGTAGATTGCATATTAGCTCTTGTATTAGCTAAAGCAGCTTTTGTCGAGGTTATTTATGATCTTTTAATAGTTTCAGACTTACAGATTCTCTGTCATGGTTCTACTGAATTTTGCTTGGCTTCAGTGCATGTGTGATATGTCTCTGCAGCCCTCGTTTAGATAAGCTCTTAACTCCTTCACAGAAAGGAGTTTGTGTCTGTAGGTGATTGCAGGTTCTGCTCCAGGGTTGGGACCTGTTCTGTGTCGAGTTAGGATAGCAGTGGGTTGGGTTGTTAAATATGCGGTACAGTAGACACCTGCAAAGAATGTTTCACTCGTAGAGTAATTTATAAGAATAACTTAGACATGTGGGAATATGAGAAGGCCCAGATTAACAGATTTATTGTACTGGAGACACTTATACTGTTATACTTATACACTAAGATAATGCTACCAAGACGAACATGCAGTCAGATGTCTAAGTAGCATAGAACAAACAATGACTTCAACAAGGGTTGTAAAATATTTGCTATAAGATCTACAAGACGAAGATTAATCTCAACATAAGTGTTTGCTCACCATTTAGTTCTCTCGTTTAATCAGTCTTGTAAGTGATGCTTGAGAAATGCTCATGCCATGAAGTGTCGTGTGCCCAGTAAGCCTTACAATGTGTGAACCGGTCGTGTGACTCTTGCTCTGAGAAGGCCGTGCTCCACTAGGCTCCTTTCTTATAAACCCCCTAATTTGTACTACACTGGTGTACCTGTGCAATTTTTGTCAATCCCTACTTCAAGATTACATCCAGAAGGAAATGTGCTCTTATCGCTCTGCTCCAGATGGGGTCTTAAATAAGTCTGTATTCAGGAAAAGAATACAATGGGGACCAAGTGAGCTTTCAGCGCCCAACGCAACAGCTGCAGCACTGCAGCACAGATCCTCGTCGAGGGTTGGGCCTTGTCAGCCAGGCCGTGCTAAACGTCACCACAGTGCTTCGTCCCTCTCAGGCAAGATCTCACCACAGCAGGGCTGCATCAGGCTGGAAAAGGCAATAACCACTGCCTTCGGATGGTGAACACAACTCAGAACAAGTTGAATGATTTTGAGGAGAGTTCACATCTCTTCAGCATCCAGGAAATGCTTCCTTGCTGGAACCCCGGCCTCTCCTCCTCCACGTCGAGTGATGCTGTCTTTTCTGTTCGGGGCACAGGGAGTAATGGACAAGGGAGGACTGCAAAACAGCTGTGCACCCGTGAAGAACAACTTGTGAATTCCCAGTCACCTGGGGACAGTGATATGAACCAAGCTTGAACCGGTGATAACTGTGTCACAGCACCGAACCTTTTGCTCCGGGTCCCTTTACTGGGAGGCCCGGCTCCATGGATGTTGTATTTAGCTGAGCTCTTGGTTGACAGTGTGTGCCACAGGACCCTTCACAGAATGCTGCCTGTACCGCCCTGCACAGATTTACAGCTGACCTTGGGATAGTCAGTGCTTGGCAAGTGTTTAAACCATCTGCCAAAGACTTCATTTATTTTCTGCCAGGTATAAATCATGCTCTAGCATTGATTTCATTTTCTCATCAAAATCCCATTTGTCTTAAATTTACAATGTAGACATTCTATGAGTAGTTCTTTCAGTATATTCACTAACCTAATAACTCCCTATAAATATGATTCCTAGCATTTATGAAGCACTTTGACCCTGGAAGTTGATTGTGCAGTGGAAGTGGCTACCTTCGAACACCTCTCCACCACTGAAGCACACTCCCCAGCTGGGTGATTCGTAGCTGCAGATCAGCACCATCCTGTTCCTCAATGAATCATGGGACTTGCATTTCAATTACAGTAGAGCAGGCCTCACATCTTACGGGATACAATAAAGGGCTTCATCAGGAGTATTTGGCTTTGATCTTATCAGATCAGGTTTGTGCAAAATTAAGAAAAGGAATCTAAATCCTACACTCATGAAGCACACACTGAAAAGCTCCTTCCCTGAAAAGTGAGCTGGATATTACTCGGAAATTGCTCAGTTTTGTGTTAAGTCTAGATGAAACGCTTGTGCGGTTCATAGGGCTCGGCAAATTGAGTTTCACTGCAGAAGTTACAGCCATTTTCCCTGCTCACTTTTTTTTATTCAGGTATCAACAACACTATTATTTCATTGTTCTGAAAAAAATAAACACCTTTGTCCTCGTACTAGCTTCCACCCCTGTGCCTTATAGATTTAGGCACTGACCTGTATACCAAAGTGTGCGAACGTAGACTTGAGGCTTGCTTGGCTAATTTGATTGGTTAGAATCTGATTTGCAATGGTAATATTGCCCATTTCATCACTGCGACCATTAGTTCCGAATCTCCATGTGCGGTCCTTTATTTAGATGCCAAAAGGACCTTTGATCATGTGTAATGGGACCATGTCTGGTTGCGTATAACAGATAGGTTTAAGGACAGAGCTCATTAAAATGCTAAAACTGTTATATAGAAGCCTTTCTGTGACGGTGCTCTCAGAAAACAAATTTTCTGTGCTGTTCTTTAATTCCAGGCGCATTCACCAGGGGTGTGTTCTCTGTCTGCTGCTCTTTGCCATTTCATTAGAGCCCTTCACATGAGCATACTGCAGTTCGGATACATTTGTCCAGATCAGCATTAAATGTATACAGCATTGCATTTCACTTTATGCTGATGATATCCTGTTATTCTTTCACAGTTTTACGCAATTACTTCCTGTCTTTCTCAATCTTCTCAACCTCCCCTGCAGCCAGATTAACGTAGGTTAGCAGTGCCCTCTGCCAGCACATCAATAATATCAGTGCCCTCCCTTTGAAAGCGCAGTATGCAAATGTGTTTAGTGTACTCGAGTGCTGTGAGGAGGTGTTTGAGGTGACTAATACAACTCAATAAAGGTTGTTTTTAGTATTAATTATCTTATTAGAACCTTTTCATTGCATGCTTCCACCAAACTCTATAAATCACACATTGAGTACTTTTTTCAGAATCAAAATCTACTTTATTGTCCACATAGTCTCACCGGGACACCCATATAAACAGTGTATATGCAGAGTACATATAACATTCAATCATTGCATTATAAATAACAATACAGTCCACTACAACAATACACTACACTACAAAAACATTAAGTGTTTTAAAACTTAATAAACATTAGATTCAGGTGTGAGCTGCATGCATATACAGTATTCTTTTAAAATAATTCTTCATACATTCTCCACGGATTAAAAGCATGTGGTACTGGCTTGTCTTCAGGGTTGTTCTAAGTTACAGGCTTCAAGCACAGTGTGATACAAGTCAGATGTGGGCTTTTGCATGTTCAGGCTTACCTTTATAATAGGATGTACTTCTGAGAACTTGCGCAGTGCAGCCTGAGACCCATTCAGGTCAAGCGGTAGATACAAGGGTGGGGGCAGGTTGTAGTATATACTAATGGAAAATAGAAACGGAACACCTCCTCCTCCACACTCCGGCCCTCCCGTCTGCGTGGAACAGGCTGAAGAGTGACTCATACATGACGAGGACCTGATGCCACTGCTGACGAGTCCATAGCAGCCTCTGTCTGTCCTAAACAGGTCGCCTCGCTCTAAGGCCAGCAGCATGGAGCCTCACTGTCCTGTCACTGAGGCGGGCATTGTGTCTGCCAGCAGTTTCAGCAGCAGTACGGGTGGCAGATCTGCTACAGTCTTTCAGATGGACCAGTCTGATATGTCAGTCCTGCTCTGGTATGGTCACTCAAGGGTGACCGGTTCTTGGACGGTCATCTGTCCTGCCGGTCTGCTGAAACCTTCTCTGCAGTCAGGACACAGTGGAGCGGCTTACTTCATAGTGTCTGGCAACGCTGGCACATGACATGCCTATCTGCAGCATGCCAATGGCCCTCTCCCTTGCTTCTGGTGACATTCCAGGCATTACGGAATGCACAGGAAACTTAGTGTGGCCTTTTTCTTGCAGAGCTTTGAATTAAGGCCTTTTTAAAGGTGACCTGATCAGACATACTTCCACCTGGACCTCGTTGGGTAAAGGTCCACCTAACGAGCTTTCCTGTGATTGGCACTGCACAAGCTGTATTGCTGATCAGAGGGCTTAAACAGACAACTTTTTGTGAAAGTACAAAAGCTAGTATCCTCATTCCAGAAAATGTTGCGTTTCTTTTTTCCATTAGTATACTTAAGCATCATCAATGTGTCACAACTCCTATAACTGTTATTGCTATTTGATAATTATTCTTTTTTTTTCTTACAGCTTTCATTAAATCTGGGAAATTATTTACTTCCCAGTGATTCAAAATACAAAACTGCAAAATCCTAAAATTTTCTAGAGATACTTTAGCACTTACCATAAAATTATTCAGAAGTGAATTCCTGAAGATTTCATTCAGCAAACAACATTTTGAGAATAGAAATATTACTTTGTATGTACTGCAGTTGCAGTACTGTTACTGCCTTTTCATTCGTCTTCAGTTATTGCTTTTTGAAAAAATGCAGAAAAAATATTTCAGCTTCTTCAGGATCAGCAGTTCCTTTGTGTTTCTTGAGGAGCAGACTGGCAGAAGTGTGATTTACAATTGCTTCCGAATTCTCAGTAGTTACCCTGTAATAAACCCACCATTATTTGGATGTGGGGCATGCTTTTTCATTTTGAATGTTTGGAGAACTTGTCTTAATCACTGACCTTAGCTTAAGTTAGTCTCAGAAATGTCAGCAGGCAGAGATTTCACATTTGTATTCAGGGTGAATGTTTTGCTTGAGACATTTTGAACATCTTGTAGGAGATCAATAAACGTTTGTCTGTTTAACAGTTCTCTGAAATACATGAGGTTTTTCTTGTAGGAAAACACTACTGGAGCTCAGTTGTGAAGTTTTTTGGGGTTGTTTTATAGTCTTTTTAAAACAGTCATCTTTCTAATGAGAAGTCAGTAGAAATAAGATACTTTCTTGATGGTTATGTTGGAACATTAACCCTTGTGCCAGTATGAATCTTCTGTCTTAACCCTCAGAAGTCAGCTTGGAAAGGACATTGTGTTCTACCCCTGCATATGTTTGCATGGAAGAATCGGTAGGTGTGAATGAAGTAATTTATAATGAGATTCTTGACTAGTTTTAAGCTGTGTGTTATTCATTATTGAAAAGCACCCTAACCCTATCTGCTGCAGTACCTAGTGTAACTTAAAGTCTGGAATGCCTTCTTAATGATGAAGTTTAATCTGTATTATTCTGTAGAAAGTCTTGCTTATTATTATATGTATGGATTTGCATTGCTAGATTGTCTCTAAGCCTCTCTGAAGGTGCAACATCTGTGGGGACAACAAGGTCCCACGCGCTGTGCAGGGAAGGCTCAGGGTCCCGGACCTTTTCACTAGATCACCTTGTCAAAGATGTGCAGAGGGGGCTGTGTGGAAGATAAAGCTATATAAAGTCTCATCAGAGGAGTGGATAAGGGGAATAATAACATATAATAAATACATTATATTAAATAATTAATATAAGATAAGATCACTTTATTGGCCATATACAATTTCTTGTATCAGGAATTTGTCTTTTCGCATACCCCAGCTTGCTCTCCATGAGACACACAGACGGGGAGAGAAGCTTGGGGTCAGAGCACAGGGTCAGCCACTATACAGCACCCCTGGAGCAGTTGGGGTGAAGGGCCTTGCTCAGGGGCCCAACAGAGTAGGATTCCTCCGCCAGCTGCGGGATACGAACCAGTAACCTTCCAGCCACAGGCACAGATCCTGAGCCACAGAGCCGCCACTCCGCCAACATTAACGTCTTATACTCGATATATATTAATATACTGTTGAAATGTGAACATTTTGAGACAAACGTTCTGGGAGCTTTTTAAAAAAAGCTGTTTATTTAATTTGGTTTAATTGACTTTATGTGAAATTAATTGAGCATTGAAAGAATTGAACTGATGCATCTTATTTGAGATTTTGCCAGCATTTCTTATTTATGCAGTATGTTGTGATTCCTGGAATATCTACAGTACATTGAAATCTGCTGAACCAGTACTGAATGGTTAGTATGCACTGCTGCTGGCTGTGGTTAATTAGTCCTGATTGGTTCATCTTTGCAAGGTTTTCAAGAGGTCAGGAGGGAGTTTTGTGGGAGTTTCACTGGTGCAGAAAAATGAGACAGTTGTGTGCAGCAGGATTGATCTTGGCCGGGAGAATCGGATTGTCGGGACGGGGCTGGAATCTCCGATTGTTTTTCAGGCAGTTGTCGGCCGCACAGCGCCAGGCTTGAGGCACCTCGGCCCCAGGGCTGGCTGAAGCGTGCGACCTATTGCACTGTGGAGCACTGGCCTGAGTGAATCCATGAATCCATCTGTTTTTCATTAATTCCAGTGCAGTGCAGTACAAGGAACTGTGAGGAACAGAAATTAATGTCTAAGACAGACAATTCAGCACTGCATTTCATTTTCAATGGGGTGTGAAGTTCTGTGACAAAGTGCGAGTATCAGCAAATCAGTTGATTTGGTAGAAAGATATCAATATACATACTAGATCTTTCCCTGCTTCTGAAGGCTTTAGTTCAAATCTTAACAAGTAAAATCTATTGGATTAGATTTGTTGTCCAGTGAGGTTATAGCCACTGCTGAACCCTAACAGTGATTACTTCAAAGGAGTTGAAAAGTTTTGCAAGCCTTTTGCTCTCTGAGGATTTCAAAACAGCTCAGCAAAGGGGAATGCTTTAAAGGGCCTTCATTTATTTAGTCCTTTCACAACTTTTTATAATGCAAGTCAGCTTGTGTAGATTCATTTATAGACGGAAAATAACATTCAGCGCCTGCAAACACATGATAGTGCCCAAACTCCCCGAGCAGCTTCATCAAGGTGCCTGGGATAACAGGTAATTGAATTTGAAAGGCACTTGAAGTTGAAGTGATGTTTGTGTGGTAGCATTCTGATTGTGTACTAACTCCTACTATAAGTGAAAGTCCATGGCACCGAGTCGGGCTTATAAAGAGTTCGACTGTGTGCTTCTGAAAATGAGCGTGTAGTATTAAATACTGATTTCATCTTTCTTACAGTATGTGTCAAAATGTAATAGAAGGATTTGAGAAATCGGATTAAAGAGATCTAAAAGATTGATTGGTAGCACCAAAGCTTATAAAATATTTCTTTCCTTGTTAGCTTGAAAACAGTTTCATGTCACTATGTGTTCAGCAGTGTGTGCAGTAATTCTTTCATCTTTCTCAAAGTACTCAACTCAACAGAGGTTCACCAAAGCATTTAGTTTTAAGGGAGCGTTTGATATTGTTCATACTTTGTTTCAGAGATATGCATTAAAATGTGTGTTTATATGATCATGACTTCTAATGTGTTAGAATGCCTAGGTATTCTGCACCTCTGATATTTGTTGATTCCACATACTGAATTGTTCAATTTTCATTGCATACGTTGTCATTATCAATCTAACTAGTGAATAAAAAGCAAAACCCAATTTTGTCTTTTGATATCCAGGTATCTGTATTTGCTGTTTTCTGAGGATGATCACCTACCCTTTGACCACTGGGTGTTCAACACAGAGGCACATCCGTTGCCAGTAATAAGGAAAGAAGACGCTGACAAACCCAAACAGCAGAAATAGAGCCAGCGACACCCTTAGGTGAGGAATATGGAACTCGAGATGACAGCTCAGACTCTTTCTACTCGTCTGCCTTCTGATTCTTCCTTACTACAGTGTCAGAGGCGTCCTACCACACAGACGCGTACGGAGAGGCGACATTCTGACACCTGATCCTTTCATCATGTCCGGGGGGATCAACAGCTCTGGCAGTCCAGGCTTGTTAGTCGTTTCAAGACACTTTTTCCTCAAGACTCCGTTGAGCCTCTGAGAAACAAGGTTCCTCAAAGTGTTTTTGTCACCTTATAGAAGAGAGATAGCAGTCTGCATGTTCCCTGTTTTGTAACAGACAGTTTTGACTGCTGTGATGTTGCAGAGGCTGTAAGACACTTTCCTCCTCTGTGAGGAGACGAGGCCACTTTCAGTTTTAATATTTGCTGTCACAAAAAAAGCCATAACGATTATAGAAAGCTTTATACAAAGGAACATTTTGTGAATGTATGTGTGTCAAAATCTCATTGTGGTTTAGATCTTTTTTTGCCTTTAACATTTTATTAATTGCTGGTCATATTTTTTTTAATTCTATGATAAAATTAGGTTTTTAGTAGGATTTAGTTCTGATGAAGACATGGGGCTGTTTTAATACTGGTAGCCAGTGCTAAGCAACATCTAATCAGATTAAAATAGTGCCTTTAGTCTATATCATGTACGATAAGTAATGTCATACAAATGCCAAGCTTTTAATTTATTTCAGAGTAATTTAAATTGCAGATAAAGACTGAAGTGGTAATTTATTCTCAAGATTTTTATCTCTTCCACATTGCCACCTACTGGAAAAATGTATCCCTTTTTCTCCAAACTGCTTACCCATTCAGAGTGCTGGTCTACTTAAAACCTTGCATTAAGGTGATCGTCTCTTTACGGTTCCCCTCGTATGTGTTCCTAAGAGTGTATATTATGTATATCATTTAAAGTTATAATTGTGTCAAAGCATCATAAATTAAGCCATTTACTGTAAGATAGGTAGGATCTTTCTTTGATCTGTCTATCCAATGCGCATTTTTGCTCTTTAGTTTGATTTGTGCAGGAGTTGCTTGTTAGTTTGTTGTGAGAAAATGTCAGATGGGATTTTTAAAGTATGTATTATGCAGGTCCCTTTTTTATTAATTATTAAGCTACTGTTAATAATTTCTAACTGGAGTTGTGTTCCCTGCCGTGCAGAATTCAGTAGGAAGAGATCACGTAGTGTAAGCGCTTGAGTCAGTCCTGAGTGGATAAATGAGTGTATGCGAGTGGGGCTACAGTGTTAAGAGTAAAAATTATAGGACGTTTCCCTCCCTCCCGTTGTTCCTTGAAAGCACAAATTGTTGATATGGATTAACTGATGTGTGTGTAGTAGGAATATCCCAGCCAGTTCCAAACAAGCACAAGCAGAAGACACAAATTGTAATGGAGAGATGCAAGAAATGCTTACATTGACTCTGTTCTACACTGGATTATATTTTGAACTAGTCATCTGTATACTGTACAGGAGATGTAAGATTAGGGGGCTGTAAATTCAGTACAACTGTTTCACCTTTCTGGGGGTTCTTTAAGCTGGATACTCTTTCCAGTCGGGAATTCTGGTAGAACACATCTAACAGTAAGCGTTGTGCACAGTGAGGTGACATTTCACAAAGCAAATGTGCATGTTTTTGCTGGAACCTAAACTGGAGCTTTTAGCTGCATGAGGTTATTAGACTTATAAGGGAATCTAATTTTGTCTGCTTAAGATTCATCATATATATTTGACTGGCTGTATTGATTTTAATTGCCTTTTTTACACCATATTATACCTAATGAACATTTTAGGCCGTGGGTATTTTCTCTTCAGGAGGCATACATGTTATTTTTGGGAAAATGGCAGCCTAAAATCTTGCTTCTTTGTCAGATTTTTGTCTTGGTTTAATATATTTTTGTTACAAATCTTACTGTATACGTTTCTATGAATGTAAACTACAGTATGTGCAATTTTTTAGACATGTGTCAGTTCATTTCCTGTGTAAATACACTGTCTGGGGCAAGAGTCTGTGTTTATGAGGTATAGTGTGATCTTCAGCTGGACTTTCACCTGTGCTCAGTCATATACCATTCAGTGGAAGGGAAAATATTCACATTACACTGTGACAATCTATGTACTTGATATTGTTTCAGGGGTTAATTTATCTCCCTAAAATATTCCTGTATTGATTTGTATTTTAGCATTCTTTTAATGTTTCTTGTTTCTTTGGTAATGTTTGTTTTAATGGATAATTACTTATCAAAATCCATGTCAAGTAAAATGAAAACTACAATCATTTGCTAGGGTAAACAGCTAAGCTAAGCCTTGGTGGTTATCTGTAGAGTTACTCAGAACTTTAATGTGCTGTATAACATTCAGTAATAAGTCATCTCCTCAAGTCTTTAAGAATCGTGGTGTTAATTTCAAATTGAACTTATGTGGTTGCATATCATGAAGAGCCATCTTATATTATAATGCCTTTTTGTAAAGTTGTTCTTTATGGTTTTTGTTAAAACATAAAGATGTAACTGTACAATGTTGCTGATAATCATTCCATTGCACATAGTTTATTTTCATTTATATGCAATTTAATATGTGAAAAGTGTCGTTTTCTTGTTTTGAATATGTAAATAATCCATTCAGGCAAATATGCCACTATACATTTATATAAATCTTATGACATTATGGAATTAATGATGATAAGGAGCTGCAAAGTTTTTAATAACTATATTTGTTACACGATTGTGAATAAAGAAAATCTTTTAATACCTTTTCACCTGTGACATTTGTGTTGCAAGATGCAGTTTTTAATACACTATTTAGACAAATATGAAATAGCCAACTTTTATACAAGCAAGTGATACTTTCTATTGCAGTGACATATCCAGTTACATTATGTGGATAATTAGATCTCTAGATGAGATAATGTGTAAAATAATGTGTTTTTCAAATGTTCTGCTCTGTGCTGAAGTGCGAAGACTTCAAATTTCTGTTTCTTCTGTACTTCAATCAGCCACCCCCGACGTGCAGCACCCACCATAATGACACATGGTGCAGAGGGAGATGAGAAATTACTTTCCCTATTCAAGGGGTAATTTTAGGAAGGGCAGTGTGTACTAGTCCAAAGTAGGATTAACACAATCCTCACTCCAATCTGTACAAACCTCACTCCAATCTGTACAATCCTCACTCCAGTCTGTACAATCCTCACTCCAATCTGTTCAAACCTCACTCCAATCTGTACAATCCTCACTCCAATCTGTACAAACCTCACTCCAGTCTGTACAATCCTCACTTCAATCTGTACAAACCTCACTCCAGTCTGTACAATCCTCACT